GATTGAAGTGTATATCTATAGATATAAGCGGATTTGGAGGGTATGGACATTATTTTATAGATATGGACGGATACCACGGGATATATGAGCGGATATCAGAGGATATCTGAATATTAATTCCTAAATATTCACCGAAAGCCTCTAATCCCTCGATATATTTCAATTAAGGAAAAGGCCTTTTTATTTTTAAAACAAAAAATTAAATAAACTCACTATTTGTTCCTACAACAGAGTTTTTATTACATTGTTGCACACCGTTAATCATTTTCGCCACTAAAAATGAAAACTAAAAATTTTTGTGTCTTAACTTTGTTCAATAGAGCTGATTTTGGTGTCATTCGACTCAGCTCGACGAGCGGTTTCGAAAGAGCTATTATTTGCATATTTGAACTTTTCACCCCAAAATGAGCTTACTCCTTCTCTTTTTCGAACTTCAGGGGTCTAACTTGATCACTGATTGCCTCTTTATTCTAAATTCTAATCAAATAAAGAATTTTTGGTTTGGTGCGCCTCGGGCACCCATTTTTTAGGAATGAAAGGAAAGGAATTCAGGCTGCCTGCGGCGCACCCAAAATTTATTTACAAATAAAGAGAATTACTTGTTTTTACATTCGCGTTAATAATAAAGAAAATGAAGAATTATTAACGCGGATGCGTCACATCGCGAAAAATAGATATAAAGCGCAACTAGAAAAGCTTGTTTTGAGCTTAATCAAAAAATTATTTTTTAAGAATTAAAACGAAAATTTAACAAACGAATTTTATAAAAAAAATTTTATAAATTAAATACAAAACTTTCCCATTTTTATCTATATTAGTATCTATGTATCAGAAATGAATATTGTATTTCTCCAGACATTTTGCAAGCAAGATTAAGCAAAGATAATAAATGGAATAATGTATAGGATAAAAATAAAGTCCGTTCCAAAAAACCTCGACACCCTCGAATTTTTCGAAAAATCGACTTTCGGGTTTTTACTTTTTTATAATTTTTTTATATCTTAATTCAGCAGCAAAAACTACCTGATTTTACAAAAAATTTTAGCAAAATGATAATTTTATCAAAAGTTATGATAAATTTTCAAAAAATCATGCGTTCCAAATATCCTCATACAGTTTGTAAAAATACCGAAAATTATGGAAAGAAGGCAGCTAAAATTTAACAAAAATTTCTATGAACATAACTATTAATAAGGATACAAAATAGGAAAAAAACAAAGTCGAAAACTTCTTTCTTCATCGAGATCTAAAATCTCAAAAATCAACGGAAATAAGGGTTACAGTACTTTAAAAAATATTTTGACACCTTTAAGGCAAATATTAAAAATTTTCTTTGGGCCTATCTGAAAGCCCATAAAATTTGCTACAAGATACAAAAGAGCTCATCCTTCTAAAAAATTTATCCGTGTAAATGCCCACGCTAGAATAACCGCTACCCGATAATAGTGCAATTTTAGGCCATTTTTTGCTTGCTCGTTATTTAAGCTTGAATGCCGTCACAGATAAATTTTTTAGAAAGATGAGCCCTTTTGTATCTTGTAGCAAATTTTATGAGCTTTCAGATAGGCCTAAAGAAAATTTTTAATATATTTTTTAAATTGGCTAAAATATTTTTTAAAGTACTGTAACCCTTATTTCCGTTGATTTTCGAGATTTTAGATCTCGATGAAGAAAGAAGTTTTCGACTTTGTTTTTTTCCTATTTTGTATCCTTATTAATAGTTATGTTCATAGAAATTTTTGTTAAATTTTAGCTGCCTTCTTTCCATAATTTTCGGTATTTTTACAAACTGTATGAGGATATTTGGAACGCATGATTTTTTGAAAATTTATCATAACTTTTGATAAAATTATCATTTTGCTAAAATTTTTTGTAAAATCAGGTAGTTTTTGCTGCTGAATTAAGATATAAAAAAATTATAAAAAAGTAAAAACCCGAAAGTCGATTTTTCGAAAAATTCGAGGGTGTCGAGGTTTTTTGGAACGGACTTTACTTCTGAAAATGATTTTTTTATTTAATTCAAAATGTGATATTATCGAAATAAGAGTAATTTCTAAAATATGATCTAATTATTCAAATATAGAAATGTTTTTTACATGATACAAAGTATTATCTTTCAATAATTGAACTTTATTTAAGATAGTGAAAATTAATAAAATTTTATTTTAAAACTATAAGTTATATAAATATTTTTTAATTTTCTGGTTGATATAGCCTTTTATCCAAAAACAAAAATTAATAATATCTGTCCAACGCAAAATTTTAATTTTCATAGAAATTCGGCCAAAGCTTATATTTTTAATCCATCAATCAAAATCTATCAATTAGATAAAGATTATCATTTCGTTAAACTTACTAACGATATGATTAATAGTTTTGATAATATGATTTGATACCAATTATCAGAATTATGTCAGAAAAATGTCTAAAATCAAAAAATCGAATCATCAAAAATTTTCAGAATAAAGGGTCCAAAATTTCAGCACCTAATATTTTTGGCACATAAAAATTTTTTAACTTACCAATTTATAGTTCGTTTTGAAGGCCCATTTATTAGCTTTCGAATGGCATGTGACATCCTCCCAACTAGGATTTTAGAATAAGTTATAACCGAAAAAGTCATGGCAAGTTGAGCGAAAACCGCGAGTACGAATGAAGCAAAATTTTAAATAGACCTATTTTTGTATAACTAACACTCTTATCACTTAATTTTGTTCATAATTATGAATATTATAATAAACAAGCGTATTTTAGACCACTCATCTTACAAGGAACCATATCGAACTGTCAGGAAAAATTTTCAAATAAAAATTATACCATCGTGTAGAGCATTGAAAAAAACTTTATACGTATTTTTTCTTTTTTGGCCCTAACCCCCATTTCGAAAAGTTATAGGGCTTCAAAGTTTTCAAATTTTGGAGTGGTTGAGTCGCCCCCATAAAGAAAATTTTTTTTTATTAAGGAGAAAAATAAGACTCCCATCTTCCTTTTCTCCTTTCCTTTTCTTTTCCCATGTTTGTTAAAGAAAGAGAAAAGGAGGAGAGAGAAAAGAAAAGGAAATGCTACTCTGTCGTCTCCTCTTTCGTTTTTAATCCGCAATGGAAGAAAGGCAGAGTAGCCTTTTCCTTTCTTTTCTCTTTCCTTCTTTTCTCTTTCTTTAACAAACATGTGAAAAAAAAGGAAAGGAAAAATTGAGAAGAGGAGTCTCATTTCTCTCCTTGGGAAGCAAATAATAAGAAAAGTGAGGGCGACTCAACCGCTCCAAAATTCGAAAACTTTGAAGCCCTATAACTTTTCGAAATGGGGGTTAGGGCCAAAAAAGAAAAAATAGTATGAAGTTTTTTTCAATGCTCTACACGATGGTATAATTTTTATTTGAAAATTTTTCCTGACAGTTCGATATGGTTCCTTGTTAGTTATAAACCAAAATTGAAATATGTAACCCAAGATATCAAACTTTTGATCATAACTGCAGGTAGGATTTTAGGCAAAATGCCTGATTTTTCCTAGATAGGCCTGACGGTGAAACGACCAAATCTGGTGTTATTTTCAAGAAATCTGCTTTTAAACTCTTTTATCGCTGCCTATATACCGTCCCTATAGAGGAAGGTTGAAAAACCCGACCGGTCGCACTATTAGAAGAAATACGGTATTTAAAAAAATAAAATCGGCTGTACTTTAGCCGGTGGCCCACTCAGAAACGGGTCAAATTAAATACCATTCGATTCGTCTCGGCGAGCTGAGTCGAATGGTACCACTCTTTTTTTGCGGAAATCCCTGCGAGCCGAGATATAGGTCTTTAAAAACCGAAAAACCATAGGGGGGACCAAGCACAATTTTGGGGTGAAAAATTCGAATATGCAAATAATAGCTCATTCGAAAGAGCTCGTCGAGCTGAGTCGATTGACACCAAAAACAACGAAATCCGACTTGATTTGACAAAGTTATGAGCATTTGTTTTAGCTCCTTACCTTTGGTCTACGTGCAGGTTTTTCTTACTGGGGAGGAAGCCAGACATGCCGACCGCAGCTAAAATAGGCATAAGTTTATGTTACGAGCCCAGACCCAGCGCCCGTAGACTCCCCGCAAGGCGCGTGCCGCAAAACTTCGCGCGAAGCGCGAAGTTTTGCGGCACGCGCCTTGCCGACGCCCCATAGGTTTATGTTGCTTGTATTTTGTGTGGTAACTTTGTCTAAATTTGTTCAATCACTTTGATCTTGGTGTCATTCGACTCAGCTCGTCGAGCTCTTTCGAAAGAGCTATAATATGGTTAAAAAATTTTTAATTCCAATAATCGCCCCTTTGGATCTTCGGTTTTTAGGGGTCTATATCTCGGTCCAATCAAGTCGGATTTCGTTGATTTTGGTGTCATTCGACTCAGCTCGAGGAGCTCTTTCGAATGAGCTATCATTCGAAAAATCGAATTTTTCACCCTAAAATTGAGCTTACTCCCCCCTATGGTTTTTCGATTTTCAGGTACCTATATCTCGGCTTGTAGGCGTTTCCGCAAAAAAAGAATGGTACCATTCGACTCAGCTCGCCGAGACAAATCGAATGGTATATATATTGAGGGGTTTCTGAGTGGGCCACCGGCTAAAGTATATCCATAAAATCTTTAAAAAAAGGCACGTAAATATTTTTTGTATTTTTAATTGAAAAGGACAAATGAAAAAAGGTAATAGGTAATTATTTTAAGCAGCGTTCTTTGGGTTACAAGAAATAAATCTTTCTTCTGCTTTCAAAATTTTTTTTAATTTTTGATAACCGGAAAGAACAGTTTAATAAATAATAAATTCCATAGGGTTATCCAGAAGAAAGATAAGGGGCAAAAAATGAAAAAAAGTATTGGACAGAGGAAAAATTAGAAATTTTTTATCGTTCCCTCCCCCCCCCCCCCTTCCTTTCTAAAACTTTCTCTGGATAAGCCCCTGCTAACATAAAATCTACCAAAAAACAAATCAAACGAGTCAAAGTTCAACATAAAACTGCGTCCCAATCCTCTATAAATATTTCAATACCTCATAATATACAGCCAAAATAAGTGCACCACTTGTACATCTTAACGAATTAGTGAGTGCTCCCTTGTACAAAGCTTTTGGCCCTTCATTGTATAAAATACCCTTCCAACACTCAAATTGATTTTTGTAAAGTTTTTTGCTTTGGCCAGCTTCCATCATTAAATGACGTCTAACAGTGTCCAAAGGATAACAGAGCAATGAAGAAACAATAAGAGATGCCTCAAAAGTAATTATTGAAATTTTGAAAACTTTAGTTGATTTATAAAGATCGGCCTGTATCTGGATCCAGACTAGGGTTGGGGGGCCCGGTCCAGTCCGAAAGATCGAATCGAACATCAAATTTTGCCCGAAAAAGATTGGGGTCGGGCCCGCCCTATAAGAAAGGCCCGAAAAGATGACTCGAACGCCGGCCTGAATCGAAACCCCAACCCTAATACAGACCTTAATTTTTCCTTGATTCAAGGTTAAAAATCCGGTCAAAGCCTCAAGTAAAATCAAGGTTTTTAAAATTTCCGATCTCTACTAATTTAATTTTAAAAAAACCTGTGCCAACGACCAAGTAGTAAAAAAGCTAAGTCTTCGTCTTCTTTGCTCATCCATGGAAAGACGAATAGAATCAAAAATTCCGAAGAACACAGCCCTTGAAACAACAGTAAAAACAAGCGAAGCACAAAATCCTCGATAAAGTCCAGGCAACCCTTCATTTGCAGAAACCAAAGAAAAGCATTGTGAAATATTTCTGACTGAGTCAACTCTTTCAACCGCTAGACGAGTCCGTGCCAAATCGAGAGGATAAACGACAAGTAAAGTTAATGCACCACCGGCACCGCCTGCTGCTAGATTTCCTAAAATTCAACATAATAGAGATTGAGGTGGTTCTAATTGTGAGCCAAGGTCGAAGTTACACTTTAAGCAAGACCCAGAACCCAAGCATTTTTTGAGCTTATTGGATTTCTTTCCTGGACTTCAAACTAAGGTTGGCGGATACTGGGTAATCCCCGGAGGATCCGATATCCGAACCGAAATTGTACCGAAATATCTAAACCGGCCTTTTTCGGAGCCTGATCCATCAAATCTACTACAAATCAAGGATACGGAATCAATCCCAGAATCAAGGCCCAGGAGCTCTAGCAAGAAATAAATAGTAAAAATACCTAAAACAAATCTAAAAGGTCTATCCCTCCAATCAATTCCATCTAATAAAGTAATCCGAAATTTGTCTCTAAACAACATATTGAGTGCTTGATTTGGGATACAGCGAATCACTGTAGCAGAATTTCCACGCCATAAAGAACGAAAGCCTTGCTCGGCACATAAACGTCGAAAACAGTCATAAATTCCTTGATAAGGCTGTCGATGGCAAATAGCAATTTCGGCACGAGATGTGATTGTTTGGAGCTAAAATGAATCAAAAGTTGAAAGAAAAACTAGTGGCCCTATCCCAAAAGTAGGGTCGAATCGTTTGAGCTGAGAAAAACTGAGAAAATGTTTCTTTTCAAAAATAAATATTTTTAAACTTTGATCTTGATTTTAAATATGCAAATTTATTTTTTTTTAATATTTTAAACGTGAAAAAATTTTGAAATTTTAAACTAGTCATGAATTTTCCAAAATTTTCGCCTGCGGCGCAGAAAATGGAAGAAATCTGTCTCTTGGCCTTCCAAAATTCTCAAAATTTTTGCCTGCGGCGCTAAACTCAATGAAGGGATACAGAGGCTTTAGGAGAAATTGATGGATAGATGGATTTCTCCCGTTATACTTGCAAATCCCCGAAAACCCTTCAAATCCCTCTAAATCCCATTATATCCATCTTAATCCTCTGATATGCCTTCATATCCCCTCAATCCCTTTAAGAGGGGGAGTAAGAGTCACCTTGTGGGTTTGGGGATTTTGGGGATTATGAAGGATAACTTGGATAAAGTACTTCTTGCGCCTTCAACTAATAACGAATTAGATTCAGAAAGTGAAGATAATGAAGATTAAGTTGATTTTTTAATAAAAATGTTGATTTTGCACAGTAATGTTGGCTAAAAATGCTGGATTTTGTAAATTTTCACTTCAACCCCGACCCCCGACCCCGACCCCGAACCCCGACATTATTTTCAGCCCCGACCCCGACCCCGAACAATTTGAGCAACCCCGACCCCGACCCCGACTTTGTCAACCCCGAAAACCCCGACCCCCGACTTTTTCAACCCCGAAGGCTCGGGGCGCAACCCTACTTTATAAAAATGGACAATTTTCCTTAAAGTTGATGTATTTTGATGTTTGCCTTAAGGAAGAATGGAGGACAGACAATGACAGAAACACTGACGTACACAAAACACTGATTGTCTGTCCGTGTTCGTCCGTGTTTTGTCTGTCTGGGTCCGTACGTCTGTCCGTGTTATGTCTGCCGAGTCCGTGCGTCTGTTGTCTGTCTGTGTACGTCCGTGTTTTGTCTGTCCGTGTTCGTCCGAGTCTTGTTTGCCCGTCCGTGTTATTACGTCATTGTCTGTCCTTCTCCATTCTTCCTTAAGGCAAACATCAACATACATCAACTTTAAGGAAAATTGTCCATTTTTATAAAGTAATAAAAAGTAAGGAAAAAAACGATTCGACCCTTCTTTTGGGATAGGGTCAAACTAGTCATGGGAAATCCAAAAAACGCGGTTATCTCTACAGACTTATTGCGAAAAATTTTCGAGATTCATGATGGGCAAGGATCCCTTTCCTTATTGTTTAATGCCAAAAAAGACCCGCCAAGGGTCAGTAGATTTTAAAATTAAGTCCTTTCTACTAGAGATCGAGATTTTTGAAAAGCCTGGGCCTGTTCCTTAGTTCAATTTATTGACCTGTCCTGGGCACGTAGTCCAGGAAAAACCCAGGCCCAGGAAACACAGAAACGTCAAAAAATGCCTGGGCCTGGACTCTAGGCACAGGAAAAACCCAGGCCTTGGTCCAGGCCCAGCTTGATCTCTACCTTCTACCAGAACTCCCAAACGGAATAAAAACCTCAATCTCAACCTCCCAGTATTTAAAATAAGCAAAAGAACAATTAAATAAAACCTGCAAAACCAATTTAACTCTGTCCATTGGTGCCACTGCACTTTTTGAAATAGCTGCAGCCAAAATACCAGCCGTCATTCCTTTCAGAATTTGTTGATTAAAATCACTAAGTTGATGTCTTTGATGGGCTGATTGAGTTGGTAAAGAAGAGCAAGAATGTGGATACAGCATAATTGAGCAGGTAATTAAAGACGACTAGGTAAAGCAAAAAAATTAATTATTAAATTGCTGCTTGCGCATTTCAACGAACAATGGGACGTGGCCGAAAACGGAAACAAACGGTGATACTTAAACGGGACACGCCCAAAACGGCGCACGGCCATAACGGCGCAAAGCCATAACTTGCTTCACAATAACCCAATTTTATCGAATTTAGTCTTAAACGATTACTCTCATCGAGCTAAAGAGATTGTTACCAAAATTGATAAGAGCCAGACATTTCCCAACAAGTTATGGCTTTGCGCCGTTATGGCCGCGCGCCGTTTTGGGCTGTTCTCTACTCAAACGTCCCTTTTTTAAAAAATCTTTTAAAAAGAAATCGTTTCGATAAATAATCTTAAATTTTCTTTGAATTTTGCCAACTTGTTAAACACGTCAAACCCTTTTATGTTTTTGCATCTTGAACACTATTTTTACATTTTTATTCGGGAATGACAACCTTTCTTTTAAATTTTCTTTAAATCTTTTATTTTTTATTTTACAAAAAACTCTCAAAATGTGGATATTTTTTTCTTTTCGGAGCAGTTCAACTGAGTCTCGGCTCAACTGTCGGCCCTATAACTCAAGTAATGGTTGATAATTTTTAATGTTTTTGGTACCATTCGATAGAGCATTAGATGGACTACAATATACCAAAAAATCAAAATTTTCGATTAACTGGTAAAAAAGTTATAATCTAAAAACCAACTCTTTCAAAAAATCTGATTTTTCGGCACTTTATCGATCATAACTTTTTTTCCAGTCGGTCAGGAATTTTGATTTTTTGGTATATTGTAGCCTATTTAATGCCCTATCCAATGGTACCAAGAGCAAAAAAAGTGACCATCCCTTCATAAATTATATTGTCCGGGACTCAATTGTGATTTATTGTTTTCTTTTCTTTTTTTTACCCAACTTCAAAATTCAATTCATTGACTTTTCATTTCCATTATCGAATAATTAATTCATCAAATTCACGTGGATATTCTAAGCCTTTTTGAATGTTTACTCTTTCTGAGTAAGCATTTTTATTTTTTGCTTTTTCCAAAAAAAATTAAAATATTTACCCATTTTTAGACCCAAAAAATAAAATTTTTTCTTCAGCTTAAATTTAAATTATGCAACTAAATATTATTTTCTTTTTTCTTTTAATTTTACAATTATTGAGGCTAACAACGACTAATTTACTTATTCCTGGAATTATGACCGAAAAAGTTGATTTGATGCCAAAATCGGTATTTTCTTGTTAAATTTCGGTAATTAGTTTGGAAGTCGTCCCTCTTTTTTTCCTGTTCTTTTGACCATTTTGAGCTTTTTTTATATATAATTTATTATCTTTCGAAAGAGCTCGGTAATAGTTTGGATGAGACCCCCCTCCCCCTCCTTTTTCCTTTCTGAAAGTACTCAAAAATGGTCAGTCACTTAAAAATGGTCAGTCAACTCGTCGAGCGGTGTCGAATGACACCAAAATCATCCCCTGGTCTTAACTTTGGAACGGGAGGTGCAACTCGACGAGTTCTATAACCTAAGACTGACTGATTATTTTTTAATATATTTAGAAAGGAAAAAGGAAGAGGGTCTCATCCGAATTATTACCACAAGCTCTTCGAGCTTGGTCAAAGGATATCAAGATTGACTAGATCTGTTGATTCTTACCAAAATTATGACGCTAAGGGGAGAGGGGCGACTTCCGAATTATTACCAAAAATTTTGTTGAAATTAAAGAAAACTAATTTTAGCAAGAATATCTGGGCTTTCTTCAATCTTCTCTAAACAAAACAGAAGTTGAAGTCCGTTTAAAATGCTTAGAAAATGTGGACATTGAATTTGAGGCTGAAGTTGTTATAAGAAGTTCTCCTTGTGCAAAAGAATTTATTGTGGACAAAATGCGCTTTTCACAAGTTAGCAATCTACTGGTTTGATTTTTAATTAATTGCCTTGACATTAGGGGTTATTCTCATGTTTATACGCTGTAAAAGAATGATAAGCTCCCTCTAGATTTAAATAAAACATTTAAACGTGAGGTAGTTCTCGTTTTTGACAGATAGTATTCGAGTTTAAACTAGACTTTTACGTGGATATAATTAGTCGTAAACATCGTATTATTTACCTAGAATTTTTACGTTTTCTCGTTTTATGTGATAGGAAAATCATTAAAAATCCAAAATTGTCTTATTTGGATTGACGGCTCGTTCAATCCGAATCCGCCGCACTTTTATTTAACAACCCCCAAGGGCTTAGCCAAGGGGGAAAATCGACCCCTGGCTACGCCCTAGACAAGCTCTATATTGGTCATGTTTTACCCAATTATTAATTCCCCCTAATTTTTACAGCAATTTTACTTTGAAAATGACAACAAAATTCCTCCGGGATATGATTATGACAAAATTCTTTATTATCGATCAAAGCCTCAAAGATTTTCTTGTTTAAATTCTGTTGGGGATCATTTTCTTGAACAAATACCAAAATTTGGGATGAAAGTTTATAATGTTACTCCTTTTAACCAGGTTAATTCTTTTTTAAATTTTTGTTAATTTTCAATTTAAAAATAGTTACCAAGTCTAGAGCCAAGAAGTAGGAGGTCAAATGACCAATTTCCTGGAATTAATGGACAATCCATTGACGGTGGTGCAAAAGATTCTTTGACGTTTGTAGACTTTGATATTTTTAAATTTAAAGGGTTTTACATATATTTTTCGTAATTTGATGTTAAAATCAGGGAGTTTCACGGCCGGTTAATTTCTGCTTATGGCGGCTCAAATGGGTGGATTTTAAAGACATTAGCCTTCACAGGCGTAAATTAACCGTGAGTGAACAACCCTATTTGTATAAATGGGGTTTCCGGACCTCAAATCTTTCTTTGAATTTCGGGTCCGGGGAGGATTCAATTTTCGGAAATAATTCCGAAGATTTTGAAAGAATCGGATCTAGGAAGAGAAAAAACCGGATTCAGGAAAACTCTTTCGAATCCGTTCCGTACACTACTTGTTCCGGACTCTTTTTTTAAAGAAATTTTCAGTTTAGATTAAGGACTTTATTTTTTAATTTTTACATTCATTTTACTTTTTTAAAAATTAATTTTATAGTTCTTGGCATCCAATCCAAACATTGCCTGTTGACGCTATTTATTTACTCATTTTGAGAATTACAATAACTAAATTCTCTGCCGATGACACCAAAAATCACACAATCGAAGCCGAAGTTCAATGGCGTGGTCCTTATGGATATTTATCGGCAATTGACTATCCTCTTTTACATTTTTATGGGTTTATGTGTATTTTTTATACTTTGATGGCTTTGGCTTGGTTAATTGTTTGTCTTAAACATTGGAAAGACCTCTTACGTGTTCAATTTTGGATAGGTTAGTTTAGTGGATTTTGTTATTTGTTTAGTTTATAAGGAGTGGGTTTTCGGTTTTTTATGCCTTTTTGATAGTATTGGCGTAGCCAGAGGGTCAATTTATGGGGGTGGGCCAAACTGGTGGTGTGCGCCAACATTTTGGTGTTTTGAGCGCATATTTCAGCGCCACAGGCAAATTTTTTTTTGAAATTTAGAGGTCAGATTTCGTAAATTTGCAGCGCCACAGGCGAAGATTTTAAAAATTTGAGGTCTTATGTGAAAATCTCCATTTTCCGATCATCTTTCTCCCAACACTGCATTTAGATGATTACCTTCTAACATATTTTTACGTTTTTTCACCTCAATTCCTCGGTCACATACTATAGCATTCGGAAAATGGCTGTAGTTAGCATCTGCAAAAAACACGGGCTGTCTTCATAAATCTGATAATTGTCCAGCTCCTTTGTCTATATATCCGAAAAAGACATTCTGCAAAAGTTATTTTTAACTGCTGTATGTCTTTAGCGGATATACAGGCGTGCTGGACATTTATCCTTATCCCAACATTTTCTCAATTTTTTAATTTTTTAGGTGCAGTTATAATGATTGGAATGATTGAAAAGGCTGTTTTTTATGCTGAATATTCAAATATGAATCAAACGGGAAAGTCTGTTGAAGGATTATTGGAGGTTCTTTTGTAATTTTTTAAATTAAAAAACCTTTCTTTAAGCTTGCCGAATTGACTTCTTGCTTAAAACGAACAATGGCTCATGTTTTGGTTATTATTGTTTCTGTTGGTTTTGGAGTAGTAAAGCCTAGACTTGGATCGACTTTAAATCAAGTAATTGCTGTTGGAATGTTATATTTTATTTTTTGTGCTATTGAGGGACTTACAAGGGTTTCGAAGGTTTTTTTAAAAATGTTTTTGGGAGATTCTTAAGAATTTATTTTTAAGCAAACAACAGAAGCGGTCAAAGAAAAACAGATAGCTAAAATGCCTTTGGCTCTTTTGGAAATTTGTATTGCTTGGTGGGTCTTCTCTTCCTTAATTTCGACGATGAGAGCACTTCGATTAAGGCGGAATGAGGTTTTCTTTATTCTAAAGATGGCTAATTATAGGATATACCCCATATTTGAGACCAGGGATGTTTCGGTTTGAGAAAAAACAGTCGGTTAAGGTTTCAAAATTCCCTTGGAATCGAGTTTCGGTTCGACAAAAGGCCTGATTTATTTTATCGTGTTTCAGGTAACCCGAGATGTTCCTGTTTGATAAACCTCCATTTGACATAAGAAACCTTTATTAAAATTTGATTAGCCATTGGGTGAGAGAATTGTATAATCGTTAAGATGCACCTAAGGTAGATTTTGATGCCTAATTGGTGTAGCAGTGAGGCCCAATTTTTTTTAATTTTATAAAATAAATTAATTTTGTAGGTAAAACTATCTTTATATTTACATTTTACCAATGTTCTTGGCATGGGACTTTTTATTTCTGTTCTCTACATGTTTTGGTCTTTATGGATGCATTTGTTTCAATACTGCATGAAGGATTGGAAGGAATTGTGAGGGGTTTTTTTTTAATTTTTTTAAAATTTAAGACATCGATTATCGCTCTCTCGATTTATTTCTTTTTCTCATAAATTACAAATGGTCGGGGGTATAAAATGGTAAAAAATTAACTTGACTTACCAGTATGTTCCCTTGTCCATTTCTTGTTTTTGTATGAAAATAGAACCCTCAGAAATTGATTTGAACTATTTTTTTTAGAAATCCCTAATAAAATCTAATAAATTTTTTATTAAAGATGGGTAGATACAGCATTTTGGCACATCTTTTTCTGTACAATTCTTGTTGTCATAATGTTTCTTTGGCGTCCTTCACAAAATAATCAACGTTATGCTTTTACTCCTTTATTGGATAATAGTGAAGATGAAAATGAGGAAGATATTGAAGAAGATGAATTATTTACAAAAAGTGGAGGACAACGCCCAGCTGTTTATGAAGTTGTATCCAAAAGAGATAAAAAACAAGAAAATGGACAGAGTAATGGAAATGTTGCTGGAAAAGATGGCGAAAATAAGAATAGCAAATTAGAGGTTAATTTTGAATTTTTTTATGCTTCTTATCTAGGGTTGGGGGCCCGATCCGTCCCAGTCCGAACGATCGAGTCGGGCATCAAATTTTGGCCCTAAAAGGGCTCGGTCGGGCCGGCCCGATAAAAATGAAGTCCGAAAAAATGACTCGAATGTCGGGCCGACTCGAAAACGCCAGCCCTACTCTTATCATTCCTTTATCACTTAAAAACTCCCCCAAAAGATGGGACGTTGACTGGTCATATTTCGACATAAAATCATTTTGAAGAAGAGGAAGCAGGGAATCCTCTAGATTATTTAAATCAAGAGTTGGTTAGGCTGTCGAGTAGCCATCTAGTCCAGTCATACAGTTAGTGGGGTTGTTCCCCGACGAGAAAAAAGAAAAGAAAAAAACGCAGCACGGGGAGAATCGGGGAGGCAGCAGATTTTCAAATAATCTCTCAAATTCCCCGACTTTCGCGTAATTAGTCTGTAAGTAAGGCTTTTGGGGCAGTTAGTCTGTGCCCTAATAGTTAGTCTTAAGTTAGTCTTTAAGTTACGTGCTTATCGACCTGTGATCTCGATAATTATTATTAAGTATTACGTAGCATCAGATTTAGTAGATGGGTTTTCCTTGAATTCTTTTATATTCTAGACCTCCCCTTAAACATTTTAAACACTATCAACCTATATATTATCTTCCTTACACATTATTCCTGTTCTATTGTTATTTTTCATAAATTTTATAGGATGACCTTCAATGGATTGAAAATAACATTCCAACAACTTTAGCTGAAGCCTTAGTTGACGAAGAAGAAGATAAAGCACAACGAGAATTGGAAATTTCAAAAATGCTTTGAATTATTTAGTTGGGGTTATTTTTTTTATAAAATTAAATCGCTGAAGAATCTAACAGAAATTATTTGTCAGTCCACAAAATAACCCTTTATTTTTTGAGTAAAATTAAAATTGCCGTGATATCTCCTTACGGGAACGTATTAATTAATTTTTATTACTTCATTCATTGTGCAGACATTCCCGAGTTAAAAAATATAAAAACGCAAAATATATATTTTTTATTATTTTAATTTGACTTTTTTTCTCTAAAAAATATTAAAAATTGTATCCTTTCATTCTCACTTCTTTTCCTTAAATTTATATTAACTGATAATATGACTTGGGGTAGCACCCCGAGCCTGTGGAGGCGGGATCATCGGGGATCGAGGTTTGTTGGGGTAGGTAGAGCCTTCGGGGTCCGGTTCGGGATTCTTGACTAAAAATTCGTCGGAGGACGGGGTGCTACCCTAAATATTACTCTTCATATTATGCCAAATCCTTATTCTACCAATAAGACTAGAATTCACGTTTTGCCGATGAAATTGTGTTGGCAAAACGTAGGGTTTTTAGTCTTATTGGTAGAAGGATTTGGTAAAATATGGGACACGGATAACACATACTTTTAAAAAAATATTTTTTTTGATTTTGAACATTTTATAAAAATTGGACAATAAAAATGTTTAAAATTAAATTTTAATATTTATAACTTGTGTTTCTTGAGATCTTTTTAAATATATATAATATTATACGTTGTAAAGGAATATTTAAAAGAGTGTTTAAATCCTTTAGTAACTGAATAAAATATAAATTACAGTCAGACTTCTTATGAGATACACCCTAGGGAGATTCGGAAGGAGACAAGATCTCGAAAAAAATCTTGGTTATCGAGATTATATTTTATTCTCTTAAAAAGATTAAGTTGACCATTGGATAGGGTACCCCAATGACGTATTTTATAGCGAGATTCGACTATAATTTAATTTGGGAAACTAAAATAATATGTGTTTCTTTACAAAAAATTTTTCCAGTTACTAAAAACTAAATTGTAAATTTAAAAAAATTTCTTTTTCAAGCTGAAGATTTCTTTAAAAGCATAAATGAATTATCAAGTCGGTCGAATGCTCTCTTCCTTAGACCAAAAAATCCACTATCTTCAAGTCGGTCAAAAGCTCGTTTGTGTGTATCCAATGATGGAAAATATTCAAAATTGAACTGAAAAAATAGGAAAATTAAATTCAGAAATTTAGTTAGAAAGTAAATTAAAATGCAATCACACCTCTCTATAAGCTACACCCTTGGGCTGAAAAATATCGTGCCTTATAATGAGAGGTACCTTATATCGAATGTTCTCTTCTTTAGAAGAGAAACGACTGTTCCCCACCCAGCGGCCAACTAAAAAATTTTTAAGAAAGCGTTGCTTAAATAGAGGTGTACCTTATATTGGGGGTATATTATATAGAGGTTCTACTATATTAGAAATTTTTTTTTTGAAAAATTCTCCCATAGCTTACCGGCAATGATGAAAGTTCATCATCATTAAATCGTTTAGTCATAGCATCAAAATCGAATGGAGAAACATCCAACCGATCAAAAGCTCTCTTCTGGGCAGCATGGTGCAATAAAGGAGCTTCCATATTAAATTGTGATTTTCGGGGGATTGCCTGCATATAAAAGGCAGGATATGCTTGGGTAGAAGAGATTGAAAATGTGAAGATAAAAAGGAAACAAAAAAGTAAAGTTGAAGAGTGGTAAATATTAAATTTGTTGATTAAAGGGTTACTAGTAGTCTTGGAAGAAGAGGAAAATGTGTGAGATGTTGATGTTGATTGGCTAATGATTTTTGACATTTTTCTTTTTTGGTAGTTAATTAATACAAGAAGGATATTGAAGAAAAATTATTTTCTAGTTTTTATTAATTCTAAAAAAATTATTTTTTAAATACTCTAATTTGTAAATACCCTCAAAGGTGAAAGTCTCGAATAAGGGTTTGCTTAAATAGAAGGTATCACTTTGAAAGCTTCCCACACCCAGTAGCCAATTTTAAATTAAAAAATTTTTTTGGGTTATCTTAAGGTTTGAATGTAATTTTAGGCGAGAAAATAAAATTAGAATTTATTTAAAATGATCATTTAAAAATGAAAAAGGAACCTTTTCTTAATAGAAAAGAAGCAGGTGAAAATTTTAATATAAAAGCCCTATATATTCTTTTAAATAAAGTTTAGCTTAACCTTAATTAAAAGATTTTTAATTTCCGTCAAGTTTTAAGATAAACTTAAGTTTTTAAGGTTGTGCTTAAAAAACATGAAAGGCAGATGAAAATAGTGTATAAACTTAAGAGAACTTTTTCAAAGTTTTGCTTAAATAAACTTGAATAAATAATATACATATATAAACTTGAGAGAATTATAAATACCGTCAAGTTTTAAAGTAAAACTTGAGTTTAACCTAAATAAACTTGAAAAGGCAGATGGAAATAGAATATAAACTTGAGAGAAAAATATAAACTTAGGTTGGTCTCTTAAACTTAAGTTTTTTTGCTTAAACTTAAGTTTTTAAGTTTAACTTAGATAACTTGAAAAAGCAGATGTATTAAATAGTATATAAACTTGAGAGAATTAATTATTTAAGTACTTTTTATAAAGGTAAATGGAAGGAGGAGTTTTCGAAAAAAAATTTTTCCTTTAATAATTAATAAATAAAAATAATTTGTGACGTCTTTATTTAATAAAAATGATGTTTTTTAAAATAAAATTTTCTAAAAATATTTTGCGTAATATAATAAATAATTTTTTAAAAAATAATTTTTGAAAGGCCTTTTTCGGCATCCCTCTCTCTTTTACGTTTGGAATTGGCTATTTTATCTTCAAAAAATTTTTTTTGAAGGGTTCCTTTTTTCAATTACCCATTCAAATTGCCTATTGATGCCCAAATGTTTTTAGAATATAATATGAATTGGATATACTAAGAAAAAGGGGGCTGAAGAGGAAAAACGTGCCACAGATGGAAATTGGTTTTGAGGGCGAGACTGGGGAAATTGGGGGAAATAAAAACTTTTTTAAATGTCTCTCAAATGGTGCAATTATGGTAATGTTTTGTGTTCTTTTAGGGAGTATTTTAAAATGAATTACTCAAAAGTTCAGTGGACGACAATACCGTTTCGAAATAAAAAATAGCTTTGAAAATCGAAGATTGAGAAACCATACTCGGAGAATCTTTTAAAAATCCTCGAAACACAAAATTTCGAAGCTTTTTTTTCTTCAAAAAAATTCTTTCAGTATAAGAGACATCCAATACTAGGTACAAGCAGGGGAAAGCCACTGAAAAATGGGGGAAAAAGGGCAAAATCGGTCAGAAATAGGGAAAATCCCCTATAAATAGGGTAAAACGACAACCCTGGGTCCCTGGGTACACCTCTATTTAGGATAATTTCTTTAAGATTTTGTCGGCTATTGGATGTGGCAAGCTGAGTAAATGATAACCCCCCTATTGTAAACCTCATTTCAAGTTAAAAGTTTCAACATGAGGGTATCTTAAGATTGAGGTCCAACTATAATAATAAAATTTATAAATATCTCTCAACTAAGATTTTCTAGTCAATATATACTCTCAAAAAGTCAAGAATGACTTTATAACTTAATTTACAAGCTTTCTTTGAAAGGAAGTAATTTTTTGACTTTTTTCTTGTCTAATAAAATTAAAGTCAATCATTGGAATAAGAGGGGATAAACCCTTTTTTGAACACTAAAAATTAAATTTTAATATTAGGCGTAGTTTTTGATTAAGTATGGAAAAGGTAGAAAATTGTTGAGAACTAGGAATATTAGTCGAATATTCCCATTAATAAGTTCCCAACATATATGTCACCAAGGATAGGACGGATTGAGAAAATAGTCGGATGGGGTTTGGATCGAAAAAATCCAGTTTAGAGTATCGGGTTTCCAGCAAGGTCGGATCCGAAAACGTCCAAAAAGGTCGGATCCGAAAAAGGCAGGATATCCGGAAATTTTCGCTTCGGATGCCGGATATCCGAAGATTTCTAACTATCCGACAACCTTATGTAGTTTCCAGTAACCCGTCCCATCTCTTATATACACCTCAGTATAGTGCATACGATTTTTAAGCCCCAAGAGCTACAGTTAAAACTCCAACGAGATTTGGCATATAAAAAGTTTTTTTGTAATTAAGAATTTTTAAAAGAAGGAAATAAAAACTTTTTTTTGTTAATTAAAAAGCTTTCACCTGCTTTTTAGAAAATGAGAAAGATTTTTAAGTGGGGAAAATTTTTTCTTTGTTTTCTTGCCCTTTAGAGAAATGTCGTCAATGGAAATTAAATTTGATTAAATAAAAATTGAGAAAAAATTTTTAAGAAAATTGTAAATAAATATACTAGATATATTGCCATTAAGTATCTATATGTGAAGAGGAGGTATTGGTTGAGTGACCCAGACTACTTTAAAAATTGTGGGAGGACAAATAAAACCCGAGAATAGGCAATTTTAAATATCAACTATATATCATTATAAGATACTCTTTTGAGGTTGAATTTTTTGTCCTATAATGAGGGATACTTAAAATGGAGGTTTAGGTGTTAAATAACATACTATCTTAAATAGAGTTGTATAATAGACCAGGGCTGGACTTGGCCGCGGAAAATTTTTTTCACCTACGCCCAGCCCTGATATGAACTAAGAGAAGTGCTCTGGGCATGATTCTGAGATGTCCCGACAGTCCTGAGATGTGCTGACGCTTTTCTCCCTAGGTTGAGCTTCACGATCTTAAACTCCCATCTAGTAAGTATTTTAAGCTGGATATCCTTTTTTCTTGCATGGGATATAGTAGTATCTTATAGCGAGGAACATTATTTTTATTTGCCAAAAAAAATTTTTGTCAGACAAAGTTTAAATAAAAGCAACACACCTAAACGCTAGCTACTTTATCAAAAGAAATTAAAAGAAAATTAAATTTGTGACGGAATTTAATAAAAAAACATTTGTGGTCTTCTTTGAGGACAAATAAAATTATTTAACCAAAGTTCTCTTTCTTGTTTATTTTAAAATATCTTTTTAAAATAATTTAATAATAAAGTACATTTTCTTATTTATTTAAATTAATTTAAATAAATAAACACTTTTTTTATTAATTTAGTCGATTTTTCTTAAGGGGTTTTTCAAGAGTCGCCAAATCTCACTTTTTACAAACTTCCTTTAAGTCTGAAATAAAGTCAATTCTCAATTTTACATTTACCCACATTTATTTAAAATTGGCACCCCAAGAATTGTCTACACCTTGGAACGAGTAAGGGTTGTCGGTTTCAGTCCAAAATGAAACCAGAACCCGAAGATTTTCGTTTTCGTTAACCGAGGAGTTTGGTAAAACTGTCAACTCTAAGAACAACCCAAGTTTGTGTTAAATTGAGGGTATTCAAAAGTGGAAGTATCGCCTAGGGAACTCCTCTATTCAGTAACCAACAAAAATAGAATAAGTTAAGTAAGATCGAGATCCAATTGTGTCTTATAATGAGGCTTGTTTCATGGGATGCCACGGATTGAGAAAAAAGTTGGGTCGGATTTTTAGAAATTTCTTTGTATCGGGGTTTTGGGCCTAAAAGAGGCTGGGGTTCGAAGTTCAGATAAACTTAGAATCCCTTGTTTAATTTTTGTTAAATAAAATTTTTAACAAAAATTTAAAATAAAATTTTTTGCTTTTCCAAACCTCTCTAACAAATAAATATTTTTTTATAGTTTTGGTAAACTTTTAAAAAAATATAAAAAATAAATTAGTTTTTTTAAATGCTAATTTAAATATTGGAAATTTTTTTTTTGTTATTTTTTGTTAAAAAATAATTTAAAAAATAATTTAAATGACACGCTTGGATTCAACTAAAATAAATAATATATTTTTACTGTAAAAATATAAAAATTAATGTTTTACGAGACACAAGCCTTTAAAAAAATATTTTTTTGTTTTTTAATATTACGAAAAAAATAAAAAAATTTTCTTTGACGAAATAAAATACAAAAAAAATAATTTTACTCATTAATTTAGTCATTATCCAAATAGTTTAATTATTTAATTCACCGGTCCATATTTACTCCCCCCATTTTAGTGGGCGTTTTTAATGTGGAATTTATTACGTAAGTATGAGATAACTACCCGAATTATATCTGGATCTTAGCAATGTGTACTACGATCCGGATATCCGATCCATAAAAGACCGGATATCCGAAGATTTTCGTTGCAGATATCAGATCCGAATATTCGAAAAGTTCCCAAAGTGTCCCAACCTTATTGCTTAACCTTATTTTATTATACTACTATTATTCCAGACAAGAGGGGCATATACGCAAACGAAGTCCTAACATCAAAAATTTTTATTTTGGTAAAAAATAGTGGAAGAGCTCTTTAACATCGTCCCCTCAATTTTCAGAATTTTTTCCAATTCTCCAAAGTCACTTTTCTCCTATGTCGGCAAAATTCGGTTCGAGGGGGTGTGACGTAATAGAGAGATTCCTCTATAGAATTTTTGGAGGTTTTCTTTAAAATTGAAGTTTGTATTTTAATAAATTAAATTTTATTTTTATAAAATTAGTCTATAATCTACTATTTTTAAATTTAATAAAAATAAAAAGGAAGTAAATTGTGAATTATTGGAAAAACATTTTAAAACTAAATTTTTTTTGGAAAATTCCTAATTGAAAGGAATGTTTATTTAATTATTATTTTTTCTAAATTTTGATCTATAATTTATTTAGTGGGTTTAAATTAAATTAATAAAAGAGGAAAGAAATTTAAAAAGCAAAAAATTTTTTCGAGGAATTCCAAGAAATATTTTTATTTATTAATTTAACCTCTAAAAATAC